TTCTAAAATAAATTACAAAAGCAAGAGATGAAAAATTCGAAATATAATGTGACATGTAGTTAAAAATGAATAATTTTAACTGAGCAGAAAGGAATGGAAGGAATATAAAAGGAAACATTGGATAAGAACAAATTTTGATTGATAAATTAGTTAGGACAGATGGAATTGATGAAGTTCGTTGAAGTATGAAATGAGAAGAGGTACTCATAATACAGGTCGTGCCGGTTTGGTCGCCAAAACATCGTCGGCTGATCGTCAAGTTGTCGTGTGCTGTCCCCTAACAATGCCAATCAAATGCCCAGCCAAGCAAACTTGTTTCAACGTATAACACTTCCACTCTCTATTTCAACATCATCAATTATATAATATATTTGAAAAATCATCAACTACTTTCTAGAAGAGCTTTCAATATGTACATTTGTAGTCAATTATTTGCGGGCTGATAAACTTGGTATTATCAAAGATCCCTTATCAGTTTAGTCTTTTCCTTATCAAATAATTAATAGTTAAAAGTTTGGAGATGGGTGTGAAATCAAACAGATTAAATAGCGCTGTCAGAGAGGAGAAATTGAACCAGTTAATAAAAAAATTTATCAAATGATAAGTTGATTGAGAGTGAAAACGAAATTTTTTCCTTTCTCTGTCTTTTTAATTTTTAATTGACGAAAAATTTCTTTTAGAAGTTTCAACTTGCAATTAATGAGATTGAATAATGAAAACGATTCAAATTATCAATTTCAAATTCACGAAAATGAAAACGCTCTTTCAGCTCAATGTTTAGTTATTTTTCCGTTTGAAGATTTCCAGAAAAAATTAGAAACAGTAAGTGCAATTAATCAATCTTGAAATGTCCTCCAAATATAGTGCCTTTGAAAAAAAGTGTTATGGTCATTAAAATTGATTGAAATGGACTTAATTGACGTTTTTGTTTGTGCATAGTAAACTGGCAATATTACAGGAATAGGCAATATGTTCACAAATGGTTTATTTAAGAAGTGTGCTATGCACCGAGAAAGGTCACTGGCTACTTTTTTCTCAACCAATGTCCCCTCAAATGTTCCATTTTCTCTCCTTTCTTCTTCTTTTCGATGATGGGAACAGATTGAATCCATAAATATTTCCATTAAGATTTTATCAACTGACCACTTTAAGTGCACTACAAATTTTTATTACTTCTTTTCCTTCCCTTCTGGTAGCCACATCTGATAACATTCAAATAACAGCTTCCTGCGGCTTTTACACAGCAAAATTTTCTCTTTTATGTCAATCTTAAATAGCGCCGCTTTTAATTTCTCCTATTACATTTTGATAATAATTAGCACCTCTCCTGTCTTCTCGGACATTTCCATTTATCAACGGTGATTCATTAGAAAAAATAATTTTGAGCAAATTAATTTATGATCACAAAAGTTAATTATTACACCTTTCTTAAAAGAAGAAAAAAGGTGTGCAAATAGTTGTCTCCATTCAATATGTACCTCCTGCTGCTACCTTAACCTCCATCAGACCTTCCAGATTGCAACAAAAACATATTTATTTCCCGATGTTTTTAACTTCAAAGAAACCCTTTCCTGTTTAATGTACGATCAGGTGGTGTATGATTATTATCCTCCACAATTATACTCACTTATCATTATGGTCACTTTAAATTGAAGAGAGAATTTGATATCAATTACAACAATCTTCCATTCATTCTTAAATCACTTTCAAGCGTGGACTTGAAATAATACCTCTCACATATAGAAACAATCAGAACATTACTGTTATCATTCAAGTTCCTCAAAATACAAAAATGAATTTAAATATTTGCATAATAAAATATTGTTGGATTAGTGTTGTATAAGTCTTTTTTTTGCTGAAACACTAATAAAATAGCGAAGTTATTAAATTATTTCTGCTGAATCATAATAAAAATCATAAAATACGTTTCTTTTGATATCGATTACGTCCCGAACTCATAAGTAAATTTTAACAAAAAAAATTGCACAATTATTTTTGTCGTAACACACTGATTTTTCCTTCAAAATGTAAAAGTAAATAATAAGTATTAATTGAAATGAAATTTGTTCTGCATCTATTATTTGACTAATATAATACCACTAAAAAAATTAGCATGCATGTTATTTCTTATTTGAATTAAAATTTGATTTACAAGTTTTTTTACATTGTAATCATACATTTAATTGATAATTTACAAATGAGATAAGTTTTGTTCATTATTGGTTTGCAAAAATCCCCTCGCATTATATTTTTAATTGATAAGTTATCAATTAAATTGAGTTTGATATAGCACTCAGATATCAATCATTGACATAATTGATCTAAAGATAAAAGATTTTTTGTCATTGGAAACCGAAAATGATTGGCAAGAACGGAAGTAATGAGTTACAGAATGACAATCAACCAACCACACAATACGATGGTATCACCGAAAGAACTATTAGAACTAATTGATATATTCATAGCTATTCCTGATAAGCTGTCCGTATCTGTCTGCTTATCTTCAGGATTGTCATTTCATACTTGTCCGTTTTCTCTCTACCGTTTGTCTTTCACTTCATTCAGCTGTCACTGATATTCTTTAGCGAATAGGGTTCAATTTACCAGTTATTTTACAACAACAACAACAATAACAAAAAATGCACATTTATATGTTTCTAATAATAAAAACGTTATCAATTTTAACTTTTTGAAGATTATATTTAAATTTAAATCTTTTAATTCAATTTTAAAAACTAATTGTAGAAAAGTGAGTTAAAAAGTAATGAGAATAAAGCTTGCAGAAATGTTTAGCATATCTTTTAAAAGATCGTTGATTTACAAATATTTTCATTTTTAAATGGGTTGCTTTCAAATATTTGAATTTTATCCAAATGTGCATACTGAGCCTTAAATGATAAACAATGTGTGCTTTTTATTACTATGTCCTAAATTTTAAAACTATTTCGGCATATTTGAAAATATTTAATGAGATATTCCAGTTTTGTCAAATGGGACGTGAATAATTAATGCCGGAAATAATGACAACATTTAGAAATGACCATCCAATGACAAAAAAATTTCATAAAAATTATAAATTTTTAAAAATATTAACTTCTTCTCCTTTCTTCTATCTTAGCTTCTTTTCACCAGAAAAAAAGAGTTCAATCTTTAATGTAAAAAGCAATTAAAAAACCAAAGAAAAGGAGGAGTGGAGACGATAAAATTTCTCATGTTTTTAAATCAGACAGTGATCGATTCCAACAGAACTGATCCAATCAATGAAAACAAGAAGTGACAATCATTTTATTGAAATACAGATATTTCGTCTTGCTCGTTTTCTTTCATCAGCAAAACGATATTGGGTGATAAGTGATATCTTAGAAGACTTAACAGTTGTTTAATTTGAAATTTTTACTGCAAATAAATTCTGCGTAGCACACACAAACTTCATCAGCTGCAATATCAAAAGAATCACTTAGGAAATTAACCACAGATTGCTATATCAAATTTTATCCGCATAATTTAAACAGCAAAACCTTCGTTTTTACCACTTAGGTTTGTTTCAGGCCTAATTGAATAAGATGGAAATTACCTAAATTTTATCACTGAATTCTTTTGCACTTCATTAAATTCATTTAAAGTATTGGCGCTTCTAACAATTCTTCCATTTCACTGAGATGTTAAATTGATAATAAAAAGATAAGATGAGATAAGATAAAATCTAAATTGACTCTTGTCATAAATTGAACTCTCCTATGAAGCAAACGGCCGTAAGAAATTTCACTTACGTAAAGACGAACGAATCAACTCAGATAATTAATCGGTCCATATTGAAAAATGGTCTCTTTATCCGTAAATACTTCCTGTCATTAATTCTTGCAACAAGAAAGATAATAAATTGGTGAAGAGTTTGTGAAATAATATGAAAATACAAGCAGTTAAACATTATATCTAAGCTAACATTCGTTAGCGCTTTTACAAAAATTAAAATCAAAGTTCAAGAATGCAGCACATTGAGGGACGGAGCTTCAATTCTCTGTGCCCATTAATCCTATAATTTTATGTATTGCGAAAATCATTGCTAAACTTTATAAGTTTGCCTTATAAAGGCTATTTTTCTTGTCGTAACAAAAATTACAACCTTATTAGCTTACTGTTTTTGATAAGTGATACATTTATCATTTATTTAGTACATTAAGATGGATAAAAAAGTGAAATGATTTTAGATTGCTTAAAAAGTTTCGTACCAGCAAATATATATTACGAAGAAATTAATTAATTGATTACAAGTGAGAATTTCTTGATGGATAACAGCGACTAATTGAAGCATTGGTGAAAAGAAATAGAAAAATGGAATATGATTGAATTACCAGTTGAAATTATTGCTCTACAGTAATATTGTGAAGTTTATGAACGAATTTTTTATTGTAATTTGATATACAGTACTGTTTATTTGAAATCAAAAAATGATTTTTTTTTCTCATTCGTTTTCATTTTATTAAATTATCTATACGATTGACCCTGCACATCAACTGTATAGACAATCTAATTTAATAATGTACTTTTTTCGGATATTCTATTCAACTTCAAATGTTGGTTTATTCATTTACTTTTTTCATTAACTGGTCCATCAAGCAATTGAAAGAGAATCAAGTTGAAAATAAATTAAATTAAATTTTGAATAAATATCATTCTGTTTCATGATTTCGTTTTCACTTGGTTACTATTGGTACTTTTTTATAAAATCAATCCTTTTTTTGAATTAAATCATTACATAATATAAGTGCTGTCCAAATTATTATTAAGTCTTTGATAGTGATAAAAAAGATTTTTCATGATACCACAAATTTTTTGAGCTACTGATCTTTTTGTTACCCCGACCTATTATATCAGAGTGGGAGGTCAAGCATAGCTTATCTATTTCTTAAAATTATAAATTTGCATAACATTTTTTATTCATAAATTTCCTAAAAAAATTTCATTATCTCATTCTTCATTGTTTTTATTCCGCCGTAGCAATGGAATTCGGCTTTAGAAGTACGTTGAAATTGATTATTTCTAAAATTTCGAATAGAATAAAAACTTCTTTTTACGTAAAAATTTTAGAAAAATTATGGAGCAGAAGTACTTGGTGTACTCCACCTTTCATAGCTGTATATTTGATAATTGGAAATGCTGCTTTGATCATTGCAATTATCATTGTTGCAATCCACCTTAGAAGAGGTATACATGGCACTTTTTTTAGAAATTCCTGAAAAAGTCCTTATATTCATCTTTTTTTTCCTTTCTTCCGTCAATTCACTTCCGTTAATGACGTGAACAAATTTGATTGATAAGGAAGCTAAGATTTTTTGCTGTAAAGAAATAGAAGACGAGATCGTGAAATTTCACTTTGAATTATTTATTTTATCTTTGTGTAAAAATAGAACAGTAATAGTGGAAATTATTTATTTCTTTTTCATTATTATTTCATTTGATACGTTTGATATGTTGAATGTAAATATTACAGAGGTCAATTATCGATCGGAGAAAGAGTTTTTGCTTCAATTGCAAAGAGTGTACGATACGGCTATTTATTCATTATTCGGCGTACTAATATTTTATATTATTACTAATTTAATCAGCTTGGGAATACGACTAAAAGTTACCAAGGAAAATGTTGATTATATCACACAACAGGTATTCTTATCTATGTTAGATTTATCTTTTACTGAATTACTCAATGATTCATTTAGGTCAATCAACAACGCAAAGAATATGAAGAAACCGCTCGTAGATTCGCATGTGATGCTTTTTTCGTTAGAAAATACTACGAGAATGGGCCAGGAACTTTCCAATCCGCTGAAGTATTATCTGTTCAGGTAATTTACTGTTAAATTAATATTACGAACAGACTGCTTCAAATTTTTTAATCTTTCACCGATGCAATTATTCAATCCTTCCTCTTTATTGGGCATTTTGTTAAATTAGTTAAAGTGAAATGAAAAAATTATTTGAATTGTTCAAGCAAGGTGTATCAAAATATAAAGAAATGAAAAAAGAATACGCCGTTGATAAAACAATTGGAGAAATTAGCAAGCATTTGACAATGCTTAATAAAATGAAAAATGTTATGGATCAGCCTATGGAAAAACAATTTGATTCAAAATTTGTGGTAAAATTTTTTGTGATATTTCTAAAAGTTACTTTTTTATGAATTGCTTATGAAATATTTTATTTAACCATCTTATTTGTCTATTAAACCGATTAAATTAGTTGCAATAAAAATGCTCAATTTTAATTGTTGACGGAATAAATTTTATTGGAATGAAATGAAATTAACACGTAGAACGATAAAATTATCTTAGATCACAACCTATTACATATAATTCTGGCTTCCCTAACTGTGATTAACTATATATTCGTAATAATCATAAAGAAATTAAAGATCTTTTATAACTTCATCGATTACATTAATAAAATTGCAAAGTTTTATTAAATGTTAAAAAAAGAACTTTAGATTTTAAAATGTTTAAAAAAAGAACTTTCCGCAAAGACTTTAAAATGCCTAAAATTGACATATAAAATTTTTTAAAGTTATTACAAAATTTTTTCCGATTTCAAGTACTCTTTTAATTTGATGAATTAAAAAAATGATAATATCAACTGATTTCAGAAACTAATCAAAGAACTAAACAGAGCTGGACAAGTTACCGTACGAAAAGGCGTAAGCAGAATAATGCAGGTAAATTCTATG